CTGATTTCCTCAAACTATCATTATCTTCTCCTGTTCAGCTGTTTACCAGAAACTCAGAGGACCAACATTTTGTCAAATGATTTTCAATGTTAGAACAATTTTTCCCCCGCATCAGTCATTACAAAAAACATGACAAGAGCATAGAGGTTTGCTTCAACTTAATTAGGCTAGGTGAAATTTTAATTATCCCTTTCCTAAATCTGTCTCCACAATTATCCATGACAGATTTCAAATTATTTTGAAATGTGTTTAAATTCTCTACCAGACTCATGAATGACTAATTTCTTCATTTCAAAGGGTTCATACATTTCATTTGATTTTGAGTTCAGCTCGTAGGACCAATAGTCTGAGGTTTCAACAGCTTACACCTGCTCCAAAATGCTCAGCAGAGATGTTCTCTTGCTCTCCATATGAGTTGTATATACCTTTGTGTATTTTTACATTTGAAGTAAAAAAAAATGTGAATTTATTACATTTTACAATCATATTTATTATATTAAAGTTTATATGAAATATCAGCAGCTCCACTACTTCCTGAACTTAAGTAAGCTCATTTGTTTCCTTTCTTTCATTGTTGGATAAACTGATTAATCCAGGTGTGCCTGACCTCAGCATCTGAGAATGAAATATTTGACACATCTGGATTAATCAGTTCATCCAATAATAAATGCCAGGAAAGAAAGGAGCTGGCTAAAGCTAATCAAGTGGTGGAATTGTGCTTAGAATAATTAAATCTATTAAGAACAGTAATCATTAATCACAGCAGTGATCATACCCAAACTATGCAACAATTAGATATCTTAGTAATTAAGATGACAAACCCTCTTTGTCTTTAAAGACCCTTTACCGACATCTCCTCAGGTAGCATTATTTTAGCTTCACTGGAACAAATTCTGCAAAAAAACTCCTATTAAGTACCTTTTGCTATATGATATGTTAATCAGCTAACTAAAAGAATTATCAGCAGATTAATTAATTAGTAAAATATTCATCTAAAAGGAGACTGTGGAGACCACTTAGCTGCAGTTAGCTGATTTTTATATCTATTGTTTTTAAGATGGGTCCAAATGGACCGTTTGTTGAGGAAGAACCCATTCTTGTTTGTATATCACCACATCAGAAATGCCTATTTTTTCCCAAAGCTTTTAACACTTCATAAAGAGAGGCCCGTAAAGGTATGTGTGGCACTGCTCACAAGTACCTTTAATCAATACAATAGCGAGGTATTTTAGTTCAGTCACGATCACTGGAGCTAGGAATGTGAGACAGCTCAGAAACTGCAAGGATGCTGAACTTGGAGGAGTCAGGGATGCACCTGCAGTGACAGAGTATGCAGGTCCTCTATCGATCGAAGCAGCAGTTTGTGTGTGTTTTTGTGTGTGGGTGGGTGAGATGTGCAGAGGTTCAGCCCACGCTCGACCATGTACAGCTCACTTTTCCCTGTTGTCATTCACTTACCCTCCCCGTTACTATAGAGACTCGGTGGAGAGAAATGCAGAGAGCAGGCTGGTAGACAGATATGCGGAAGACCTGGGCTGAATCTTAATAGCAAGGGGAAGGCTCCCAACACACACTCAGCATTTAAAGCCCTGATGTCAATTACATAATGTTGATGCATCAAGTCAGCCTGTTTCCCTCAACCTGTGATCTTAATAGACTGAAAATCATTGGCAATGTCAATGTAATCCATATGGGCTTCTCACATTTGTGATTAAATGGTCGCTACTGTAGAATGTTGTATTAAAATAGCAATTATGATTATGCTAAACTCTGTATATCCCACACAAATAACTTTAAAGGCAAATAGCTTGAATGCTTGATTTCTATATTCATTTTCTTGTCTTGTATCACTTTCCTATGATGTTTTAAACCCTTTCCTACTCGACTTTGTCATTTTGGGTCACAGTGTCTTTTTTACCCCACTTTCTGTCTTAATTTCTTGTTCTTTGCTCTGTAAATAGACACCAGTGTGTCCCTGCCTGACGAGAGAGAGAAAGAGAGAGAGAGACAGAGAGAGAGAGGAAGAGAGAACTACAGGCAGTTCTGAGACTGCACCAGAATCGGACCAATCACAGGAAGGGAACCTTGAGCCCACGTGACTTATTCATAAAAAAAGAACAAAAAAAAAACAAGAGGAAAATCTTATCAATGCAGCTCTTGTATACCTGATCAGAATTAAAGCAGGCTGATGGACATTTCTTAAAAGTTACAAAGGATATTAAGTTCATAGATGACCCTGTTTTGATTCTTTTCATGTAGCGTTCAGACTTCAACAGGTAAAATGTGAGATTAGATTAAAACCTCAGAGCCTAAAGATTCACATTGAGGGGGTTGCAGTCACCTACTTGCTACTTTAGTGTTCTGTGTTCCAATTTCATCATGAAACAGCGAGGACAAGTCAGGAAACCAAAAATAACCTGCATATGTGCCAGAATACTAAGATGTCCTCAATCCAATAAAAACCAAATAGATAAAACAAAAACAAAACAGGAAACTGTAGCATATTCTGAGCCCAGACTTGTGTCTCTGGCTCCTTGCACTGTTAAATGACTAAGCAAACACAAAATGCAAAGACATAACTTCCAATGCAATACATAATAATAACTGCTTCATAATTGTTTTGTTTCGTGGAAACCTTATGAGTTTCAGTTTCATAGCAACCTATGCCCACACATACGTAGTGCATCCTGGGAAGGATATTTGTCATGCACTTTTATTCTATTGCATAACTATGTCTGCTGGGTTCATTCTGAATGAAGGATTAGTGAGTGTTGGGAGAAGATAAGAAGGTGTCTGTGTTAATTACTGCTGACGAATGGCAAGGCACATTTCCAATAAGACATTTATGGACTCAGACATGGGCCTGAATGCTGATTGAGGGGCTTTTAATGATATATCTGAACCATTAACTTCTTAAAGTGCAAACATTACAAGTCAAACAACTTTTGTTTTTCCTTTAGAAGAGGCACTGGGTGCACAAGGTTGAATTTATTGTGGATTTTTTCTAATCCAGACAGGATAAAAATCTTGCAGTGTTAAATATCCATACTAGAAATCCCCTAAACAAAAAAATAATACATTTTTTAATATCACTCTTGTAATTTTAGTCATTTTGCAGCCATCAACTGACAACTTTCATAGTTGTGACTGGATAATTGAGCCTCTCTTTGAAAGAAATTGTTCATTTAAATTTGTAATTTCTCAGGTATGAATTGGCCCAGTAAGCAGACTTCTGAAGGGTTCATTAGGGAAGTGATCATAGCCAGTCGAGATTCTGTTAGTTAGCTTTGTAGTGTTGAGGTTTGGATCCATTTTGAACCTTAATATTTCTCTTTATCCTTCTGAAACAAACTCTTATGAAAGATCATCTTGTATCAAGGTTTCAATCAATCTGAATAAATTTTTTGACTATATGATACAAGGAAGTTGGTTAGATTGTTCAAGAACTTTGAAACATGCACCAAGCTTAAATCTATCATGTACTTGGAAATGTTGGAACATTGGTTTTCAGGGTGCCTGCAGAAAAAAAAGAGATCATGCTTTACCAACTTTTAATTCAACTACAGTATAATTTACACATAATCAGGACAAATTTCTTCTGGGAAAAAGGAAAGTTTTATGGTAAAACTGGGACAGAGGCTGAACTTTTATGCCCCTCCAAAAACAAATATTTTTAAAGCGAGCTTTCAAATTTATAAACTCTGTGCTAATTATTAAGCATGGCTTTGATTGCATCATGTTGGGATGTTTTCATCTGTTGACTTGAGGCTGATGGTTGAATTTTTGAGAAAACCAAGTGTAGCAAAATTATAGCAGACACTTCAAAACAAGCATTCCTGATTAAAAGAGTCTCAATTATCCAGCTAGGGCTCTGAAAAAACACTGCCTATGGTTATAACAATTGATTTGTCAATGATCAGCTTGCTTAAGGACATTTAACCAAATATTTATGTTCTTTTCACATATTTAATCAGTTCATTTATTGAATAAATAAAACTTGTTCACCTAATTCTTCTTTTTCAAAAATGTTCTGAGTTAAAGTATTAATTTGTTACAAATATGAATGTTTCGATGGCCTTAATCAAAGCCTACAATAGATAAGACTTCCACCTCATGATGGCTGTATGGAAACTACTGTCCAGTACTGTTTGCATATGCAACAAAGCAATTGTTGCCAGATCAGGGTGAGTTTAAAACAATGAAATGATTCAACAGAGGCAGGCAATTCTACATAAATTTGGATTTATTTCACCATGATCACCTCAGACAAGTACTGTAATGAGCTTTTTGTCTACACACATACAAGGAGTGAATGCATATGTGGAATAACACCACAGACAAAACACACCTAAATATCAATTTCTTACATGACATTTAGGGGAAACGATGAACCGTACAAAAGATTTATTTCACAGCCGGTCATTCTAAAGCATGAGCTGGTGCCAATATATGCAAACTTAATGGTAAAGCATTCCAGTGCCTCGCAGGAAACACTGGTATATCACCATCACTGTGCAAAAAACACGAAATTTGTCCATAGCTGTGCAAAATAGCAGCATTATTTACTGTTCAAGCAAATGATTCACAAATATAACAATTGTCTTTAAGATTAACCATAGGCAGGACTGTGTTTGGTTTCAGAGTCCATGCTGGTTTATTTTTTGGCTTATAGATACTGCAGTAACACATGTGCAAATGGGGGTTATCTTTATGTTTCTGACATGTCACCGCAACACTTGTACTCTGAGGAATCATGAATAAACTAATCTGAACCTGACTAACTGAGGCTAAGAGCATATTTGCAAAACAGATTTTAGGTTTTATTGTCTATAAGTTTGTTTCTGTGATGCTCAAACTACCCTCAACCATTTTCCAAACTGGCATTAAAATCATGTTGAAAAGATGGGATTTTTACATGTAAACCACAAAGTTTCAGGCTATTTTCCACTTGGCACAGAGAAGATTCGAAAACAAAACAAACCAAGAAAAAAAACAAAACAAAAAAAAAAAATATCCCATTTGGTCTTTAGTTAAACCTAAAACAATACATCTATTGCTCAGCTTTAGCCAATAAGCCACTAATACCTTCTGCCTTTTATAGTTACAATATAAGAGAGTAAAATTGGAAATGCAGAATGAGATCTTGTCATGACATACAGTATCTGGGGATCTTTTCAGAGAGTCGGAAAATTATCAGCATATATCAAAATACCATCCAAATGTCTGTTTTCTGTTAGATGGGGTCTTTAAAATTAAGACAAAGTTTAAAAATGAAAGCAAGTTGTGACATCAAGTATGGGCTGGCTAGTGGTATACACAGGCTCAAAAAGCTACTTTTTAAAAATTCTAAGATATTATGTTTGAAGTTTGTTTTTGAAAAACTAGAGAAACTGCTAGATTAACAAGTTATCTAATTCTTTAGAATGAGTTCAGCACTACTAATCTCCTACTTGTTGCTGACAGCTGTTGGCTGGCAAAAGAAAACGCCTACGCTTTCCCCTCACATGAAATAAAGAAAATCCTATAAAGTTTACTCTGATATAAGAAATTAGTTGGAAAGCAACATGCATGTTAAACAAAGATTGCAGAAAGCTTATCTGAGCAAACAGCCTGAGTATTAAAAAAGAGAATATTGGGTTGTTACAGTATGTTATCTTTAGCCCCTCTAAAAGGAGAACAGTGTAAATATATATATATATTATTCTTAATATCCACTTTAAAACAAAATGAACCTAAAAGGTATTTCTTGCTTCTATTTGATCAAGATCAACAACAGCAAATAAAGGTTATGCGCTGTTTTTATAACTTTGTAAACTATATTCTAAAATACTTTAGCAGTAGTGGACAGCATATTCGGTTTCCTGTTTCAATTAGAAACAGTTAGATTAAATACTTTTGTTAAAATTCTTTGTGTAAATATCATTAACCTGTGGTAATTTTACTAAATGTTATCATTAGAACCGTACACCAGCCCATGCCTAGATGAAACAGCTCAAAGGGGAATATTTACAATCACTGTTCATTGCCATTTTAGAGACATTTTGTATCTGTTCCATGTCGACTAGCTTATCTATCAGCTGACTGAGATGCTAAAAAAGCACAGTAGACTATCTCTAATTACTAACTTACTTACAAGGCTTAGGCTTATGTGCTGTGGAGGCACTCGTAAGCCATGCTTGGCTCAGTTGGGAGAAAAGGAGAATCAGAAATGGCTGAACAGGTCAGCACCTTGGACAGCTCATTGGCCTGACTCGACTGGGGAGATCTATTCTGGCACAGGCTTGGACCCCATCCAAAAACATCCACTCATTTACTTGGAAATTAGGCTAATTTAGTTTGAAATGGGGATTTGAGTCTCTGTTAAAATGTAGGGTTTTACAGCAAAGTCAAATTCCTAGGACAAGACAAAATAAGAAGACAAAATACGATCAGCATGCATCTTTAAAACCTCTTCCAGCGGAAACTAAAGACCATATTGAAGTTGTGTAACATCTTGAGCCGAGACGTGAGGAGTACTGCCGGCAACACTGTCCAGTCACCTTTTATACATTCAGCTTTAAAAATACACCGGCGTACTGCTCAGTACCTCAGCAAGAGTCAAAAGTGCCACAATTAAACAAATAAATAAGATGTCAAATGAATAACTCTTAGATAAATTAGGTTATTCTGGAAAATCCTTATATTCAGGAATTACATGAACATTATATGCCTGTAGTTGTTGAATTACACATATTAAATTTAAGTTATTCATTAATGAAAACTTGAATTAATTGAACTTTGAACAGCAAATACTTATCTCAGTGTTTACCAAATTATTTAGTATTTTCTGTGCTACAGTGCTTGTCCGAATGATAAAACAATGCCCTGCAACACGTTTCAAAGATTTATATATTTGATTATATGTTATTTTTAAATTGCCATAAGATATTAGCAAATCTAGATGCATCAATTTAATAAAAAGTTTCCCAAAAATAACTTAAGTAAAATTCCATCAGTCTAGAAGAAGAGAGCTGCCAAATTAAAATTATAGAGATGTTTGATGATTTATTTATTGAATTGTGGCACTTTGGACCTTCCATAGACCTGGGTCAACGGTCTAAGCTGGATTCGCTGGAATCACGCTGATTTTTCAGATCCTGAAAGACCTCGGTAAAAAAGTGTGGGTCCGCGTTCAGCTGGAGCATCTTGGGGCTCAGCCGGTCGATGATTCGAAGCGACGTGTCCCAGAAAACGTCCTTGTTGGAGTCCGTGATGAAGGGCTTGAGCGGGTAGGAGATCTCGTTGCCCATGTAGGAGTATGCAAGGTAGAGGCAGGTCTGGAAGGTGCCCTGCAGCTCGGCCGCGCTGTTCACGCTCTCTGTGATTGCGTCCTGGCACAGCAGGTACACAAACACCACATTGGCTGGCGTAATGAAGCCGATGTCCTGCCAGCCCTGGATCAGTAGAGTCCGGTCAATGTTTCGGAACCAGAGGACAACATCCCCGCTGTTTAACTCTTTCAGTTTATAACACCTGCGGCACAAGTAGTCCCCCAAACAGCGCAGGAGCTCCCCTGTTGACGCCTGGATAACAATCCGCCTGGGTGACAGCAGAGAGAAGTTGCTGGGTTGCTTCTGAACCGTGGACAGCCTCCCGTTTTGAACTATGCTGTCGCTGTTCTGCGTGGGGACCGGGACAGGGATGGGCGCCTTTGGCTTCTTCTCCTCGGTTTGGTGCGTCTTCCTGATGTTTTCGCTGTTGAGATGGGCCACCTGGCTCGGCTGCAGCGGGTTCGGGGTCACTTTCTTGGCGCTCTTCTTAGCTGAATTGGCCACCAGCTTCTTCCAAGACAAAGATACGAACATCGAGTGGCGCTTGAGGCTCTTGTCGTTTTTCAATCCATCCCCTGTAGCCTCAGTGTCCATTATAGAAGCCTTCTTTGAGGCAGGAGATATGGAGAGAACGGTACCCATGTTTGCGCAGGAGAGAGCTGCCGTGGTTTGGATGCTGCGGCAGATTCTTCCGCTGAGTGAGAGGCGGCGAGCAACAGTCACGACCAAAACTCCATCTATAGATGTTTATTTACCTGACGGTGTTGGCAGAGATAGGAACAAATATTTCTTTATAAGTTAAATAATAGTCTTTATCCGCGTCTGGGTTGGAAAAACGCTGCGACACGAATCCGGTGCGTCTGTGAGCATGAACCAAGATTAGTCACCATGCGTAAATCCTTTACTTAGCGAACCAGTCGAGCAGGCACTGACTGACAATCCAGCTGGCCAATAGAAAAGCCAACCTCCGGCTCATATGATTAGAGGTGTTGTTTCAGGTCTCAGCTGCCATTCATAGATTCAAGCCAGGGTAGGTCAAAGTGCTATGCTCCTCACTTAGTCGGTTGGAGAATCAGATGCTCTGCTTTTTAAATTCCCATTAATTTTAATTCATCACGGTGGTCAAGGGGTGCAAGGATGCTGCAGATAAAAAATAGCACTGCAAACAACATGGGAGGCTGGCAAACACAATTACACTTAGAAACACATAGAAAATACATCCAAAGGGGAAATGCTGCAAAGATATGTTTGGATCACAGCAATGAAGAGAAGCAGAGTGTAAATGTGCTGCAAATACATAAATGTATTGGATTTATTTTGAATTTTCTCTAATTCAGACAGGATAAAAATCTTGCACTGTTAAATATTCATACTAGAACATGTAAATAAATGATAAATGTTTTTAAATAATCATTTTGCAGCCATCAACTGGCAACTTTCATAGTTGTGACTGGATAATTGACCCTCTCTTTGAAAGAAATGGTTCATTTAGATTAGTTATTTCTCTAGTATGTGTTGGCCCAGTAAACAGACTTGTGTTGCACACCTACACACACACACACAATACACATGTAAAGAAAAAAATGCAGCATGTAGAAAAAACACAAGCAGACGCAAAATAGCACACAATAGCACAGAGCTGTTCCAGACCTCTAAGGGGGAGTCGACCCCCTAGTAATATATGTACAAACCCTTAGTGAAATATATGCTTAGATAAATGCAATTTTCCACAAAAGACTCTTTCTTGACTCCATATGTCCAGTGGGTGGTCATCCCAATAATATTGGGTGTTTAGTTTTTGCTACTTGCAAACCTTTTTTCTTCTCTATTTGCATTTTGTGTGCTTGTGCAATGGGTTATTTTGCAGCACATTTATGTATTTTCAGTGCATTTGAACCCCTATGTCTTGCGTCTGATGAAAACCTGCTACAACTTAAAAAAACAACCATAAAAAACGCCATCAAAAAATAAAAACATAAAATACACAAAAAAAGTTTTGAGAAACATATAAATGATATGAAATGCCTAACACAATCATGGGTAAAATTGCAATCAGAGTTCATTTGTAATTAAGGTAAACCACAAAAGTATTTATGAAAGAAGTGGTTGCTCACAAGGCACTGCAAACAAATAGAAGGTTGAGTGCAAGTCAAATAAATCGTAGAAAAAGATGCCTGAGCAGCAGGCATTGAGAAGCCTGTGCAGCATTGCCCATTTAGAAGTTTTGATTCAGATGATATCGAATGGTGTCTGTCCCAGCAGAGCTCTCGAAGTCAAAATTGAGATCTTGAAAAGTACATGATAATAAACTGGGAGCCTAAGCTGCATTAGCAGGGAAGTCATATGAACAAACTTTGAAAATCTAGTCAGGAGCTTTGCAGAATTATTTTGTACAGATTGGTCCCATTCTAGGGAGGTTATGGTAAAACATGTGTAAAGCAGAACCCATAATGCAGATTAGTTGAAATTTAGGATTCCCTTCTCAGGATTTAGAGTCAATGTTTGTCAATGTTTTGCAACTGAAACAGCAGCAAAGCAGAGATTCGAAAATATTTTCAAGCCGAACTTAAATGTTTAAAACACATAATTAGATGATCAAAGTGGGAGTAACCTGTGGTAGGATTTTAACATCTGACCTGTTACAACCCACAGGGGCCGTTAAATAAGAAGAAGTGGGTACAATACGCCAGAGATGGCAAAAGTACTCACTTTCCGTACTTGAGTAAAAGTACAGATACTTGTGTTAAAAAATACTCTGGTAAAAGTGGAAGTACTGATTAAACTTCTTTACTCAAGTAAAAGTAACAAAGTACAGGCTTGTAAATTTACTTAAAGTATAAAAGTAAAAGTAGAAACCATTTTTTTCATGCCGTTGCCTACATTTTAAATGGATGTCTGCCAAATAGGACTAGATCTCCGTTGTGTTCATTTTCAATCATCTCGTCGTCCATACTACTATGCTAACGCCACCGCCACCAAGCTGCAATGATTTGCAGCGAATGAATACCGCCAAATCTGTCGATTCATCTTGTAGTGGTGCGTCAAATGCAACGTAGATTCCCATCCAATTAGATTGAATTTGGTATTGATGACGTGAAAAATAATAACGGTAACTCCATTGACACGATTCAAAACTAAAGTAACAAACCAATTTTTTAAAATGTAAGGAGTAGAAAGTACAGATATTTGTGTGAAAATGTAAGGAGTAGAAATAAAAAGTCGCCAAAAAAATAAGTAGTAAAGTAAAGTAAAAATATCAGAAAAATCTACTTGAGTACAGTAACGAAGTATTTTTACTTCGTTACTTCCCATCTCTGCAATACGCAGATAAAAGAACATTAGTGCCATTTTTAGGAGTTTTCTTCCATTTTTTCCTCTCCTCAATATCAGAAAGTTGACGTTGATATTTTATATAAAAAAAAGTATAGTTCTCAAAACAATCAAATGTATGGTTAATGCTTAGGGAGGAATGTAAAACAGAAATATCTTTTCTAGATGCTCAGAGAAGCTGCCATAATTTATGCAGTTTTCCTTCATTTGATATATATACAGATGTCTAGCTTTATACGACTTAGAATATGGAGAAGAAATCCAAACTTATACAGAAAGAGTGTAGTGTAATCTTGATTTAATAATCCTGTTAACTAATCCTGTTAGATAACAGTTATTGTATGTATACTAACCTTTTCTTGATTTTGTCACTATAGTGTAAAACAATAGTGTTTAATCCCTTTAATGCAAATTTTTTGATTCCTTTGATTACTTATCACCATTCACCACAGGCAAGGTTTTGTTGAAAGTACATTGATGGCATTAAGTTTCCATCTAATCAACAAGGCACAACATTATCATCAATGGAAAAGATTATTAAAAGGCTGAAAAGTGGGAGGTAAAACATTTAGCATGGGAAGACATCAGCTGATGATGAGAATCTGTTAGTGTTGATCTTACAGTCTAACTAATCTCTAATTTCAATGCCAATGTTGTACAGTGTCCATATTTTGGGCTAAAAATGTCAGATTTTAATATACGTCTCCAGGCTTTATAAGGACAAAGACTGATAATTCTTAAATAGGATGTCCATCAGTTTTTTTTTCTGCAAAGAATCAGACGGCTTTTGAAGTGAAATAAATATCCCTAAAGATATTATTATGCTTTGAAAAGATGAAGCCCAAATTGCTTGTTATTAATTTATAACAAAGCAGAGTTTGCGTGTGATGGCTTTTTTCTGTTATGACTGTTTTGTTTTTGCTGAACATGAAATTAATTCAGTTTTCCAACCAAGGCATAATGACACTAAATGCATCTGATTCTAATTCTTTTCAGTAAACACTTTCACAGAGCTTAAACAGCTTAGTTCAGCCCTGGAGAATATAGAACAACTAATTTTCTTTGAAAGTGTATTTTGATTTCCTTTAGATATCCGTCTGCATGTAAGGACTGAGCTGCTGTTGCACCCCTCCTTTGCGAAATGTTCAACCATATAGTTTGGATTAAAACACTTTAAACCATACTTCCTGAAGATGAAACAAGATAGCAATGTCCCCAAACTATAAACCACTGCCTTTCTTAAACAGGCATGTTTGATCATGATGCAGGTGTTTGATCAGAGATCAGATGGTGATCAAAAGCAACTCTTTGATCACAAATCAAACAGAGCAACAGGATGCAGCAGCAGAATAAATCTCACTGAATTATAAATAAAGCTTTGGGCTTTTGTTACTTTATTAAACATCTCTGCATAGATGAGAATGAGCGGGGGGGAGACAATAATTCACAGGTGACAGGCTCTGGTTAATTTCATCTTTGCCCATACAAAATATGCACTAACTCAAACACCAGAAACTGGATTTTCATCTTCATTCTTGATTTATAACAGTGATGTTGATATTTCTAAATTCTTTGGTTAGTCCTTTGATAAACCTGTCAGCTTTTATTCAGCTCTATATGTGAAGATAATGCGATAAAGAAAAAAACAACAGAAAAATTATTTTATGATTTATTTTTTAAATACATGTGTTGAGCTGACTGTAAATTGAGAAATGTCTATCAGTTTTGATGGAAAGAAGTCCTCCGATGCAATTTATGGTCTCCTTTAGTAAGATGCAAGAGAGAGTTTAGGAAAGGTTCCTAAGTGTTCTCAAACTATAAAGATTATTAGCTGTTTTCTTTTTTAATAAAAGCAGCATGATATCATATATATCATGTTTTATTATTTGTGTAAATTGTATTCATCATGTATCATACTCTGGGATCTTTAATCTGGCCCATACATCCTGAAAGATAGGGGGAATGCCGCTGTAAGGAGATGGTCAACATACTTAGAATTAGGGCTAAATGATTTTGCTGAAAATAAAAATTGCGATTATTTTCAACCAATACTGCGATTGCGAGTTTATTGCAATTTTCCTTTGCACTAAGCACCACCATGTCGATGTTTTACTCCACGGTTTCAGTTTTTCATGACCTGAAAGCCTGCTTGTCCAGAATGCAGTGCTCTGGGACCTGTGAAACTTTTGCATGAAAAAGTTCTTACTTCTACTCTGCATAGATCTACTGTAGATGCTAGCTGCAACTCTCTTTTCCTTTCTGTGCAACATCATACCCACTTTAATAATATTATTGCCACCAAAGAGAGAATTTTATTGTCTTACTCTTGTTAAATGTATTGTGCCTAAAATTGAGTCTTAGACTTAGACAACTTTTATTGTGATTTTTTGTGTATACAAAACGAAATTTCCTTTAGTACAGCTTTTCAGACAGTAAAAGTGCCTCTGCGATTTGAAAATTGCATTTTTTTAAATTGCGATTATATTGCAAATGCAATTACTTGCCCAGCCCTACTTAGGATATCCCAAAAAAATCATAAACAAGATTTATTTCCTAAGCCCATTTATCTAAATCCATCTA